AGCGGTTTGTTGCCCAAGTGAATGACAACAGAACTTGAGACTACAACCCAGCAGAAGAAAACTGAGGTTCACAGGAGAAGTTTCTTGTGAAACACGCACTTGAAAGTGATGAAGATCAGGTGGGCATGCATGTGCAGTCATGCTGCTGGCAGTGGAGCTGATCTTGTTGGGAAACTTAGAATTACAGTGAGCTCCAGGATGCTAATTCCCACTGAAGAAAGGTTCTGGGGGTAGCAGAGAAAGTTTTTCTTTACAGAGAATATTCTCCATCTAGCAAACCCGAGTGTCCAAGAATTAGGATGTGCAATCCAGAAAGGAAAGACTCTGGAAAAAATTTTTAACTGCTTAGAGATTTTTTCTGTCAGTTTACATGTATTCTACAACCCAGGATCACCATCAAAGGATGGGGAAAGTCATCGTATCCATCTGTGTTAATTGCAGCATCAGAAGGCTAGGAGCAAAGCAGTCCCAAGGCCCCTTCCTGTTAGCAAGGAAACACCAGCTAGAAAATTCTTGATTTGAGTAAAAATACAAAGGAAGAAATACCAAGTGACATATGTAAATAAATGTGTTTGATTGGAAGTAAGCAGTGGTATAATATGGTGAGTATTAATTTAACACATGTGACCTACTAAACCATTTGCAGATATCGTAGCTCCCTAGTTATTTATTTAGTTGGTTGGGTTTTTTTGTAACTTTGCAAATGTAGAGCAGAGTGAAGGCTTTAACATATGTTTGAATGACTACTTTTTCTCCAATATAACTAGAAAAAATATTTCAAAATATTTAAGTCCAAGCTCTCTTTCAACTTAACATAAAACATATTTCTGTGACAAGTAAAATATAACCTGGAAACATAGCTTTTAAAATATTTTGGGATGTTTCAGGAGTAGCCTAAATATCTCAATACCAATGACTTCTTTTTGGCATAAAGTTGAAAACTAAAATGATTACCCCAGTTTGCTCATTTGTTACATATGACCACAGCCTTTTGCAATACAAACTCATATAAATTTTCGCAAAGAAATTCACCATTTGTTTCATTCTTTTCTTCTCTATTTGCAGCAACCTAGAACATCTAAACTACCTATACAAACTGTGAGAGGAGATAATTCCATTCTCAAAACAGATAATTTCGTAAAAAAAAACCCCAACTCTGTGGATCTTTATTCCTGAAGAGTATATTTTATTCCTATACCTTATACCCCGTGACACCAATACGATTTCTGTGAGAACAAATGGATGAAACTAGTCCTGTTCTGTCCTGTAGTAATTCAGAGGGGATTATTACTTTTTGTAGTTTTCTAATTATAATTTGTAAGAAACTATCATCCATGTTTCCTTGCCAAATCTAGGCAACAGACAAACAGTGATAAACTAAACCAGATTTTTTTTAGTTTGCTGAGTAGAAGTGTCAACTGTTAATTTTTGTGTCTTTTTTTTTTTTCCCCTAAAGTACACTGAGGTACATTTATTCACTCAAATTACTGTTAAAGTCAGTGACAGCATAAAAATACTTTGCAGTTCTGCATGTGCTGAAACTCTTTGATTATACATACCTCTGAAAAGAAAACAGACAGGATGACTAGGCTGATCCAGTGAATTACTCCTGCAAACTGTGAAGCACTTGAAACTGCAATTAACACAATACAATGAAGCATCATTATAGCAGCAGAATGCAACTTAGGTTTAATATAACTAGAACACATATAGGTGAACCTTACTGCCTTAAATTGTGTCATGGATGTACAGGAAGGTGATGGGATGTAATGGGACATGGAAGCCCAGCCCTATTAACTGCTCACCCTAACTCATGCCAGCATGTGAGCAGCCACAGCAGCTTTGCCCTGGAGCTTTTAGAGATCAGACTGCTGGGAAGCAATGACAGACGTGTTGTAGGTCTTTGATGCTCCATGCTCTCACTCCATGCACTGCTGTAGTATGAGATGTGTGACTAAATCCTGCATGCCTGAAAATCCTGAGTAAGAATTCTGTAAGGAAACAGAATGCTCTACCATCCCTACATCATTTCTCATATCCAGTCTTTGACAATTCAGTTCAGACAATCCAGAATTGTCTGGAATGGGTGCTTAACTACTACTGTTTAAATTAGGCTTCAAAAGACATGTTTATCATCTAAATAAATACCCCAGGTAAACAGACTGTTGAACAGCTCTCCAGATGTGCCATGAACAGCCATGACTGGCTCAGGATCCCATTCCTCTCAGAGTCAAGATTGACTCTAGGAAAACCATAGAGCGAGAGGCAAGAGAAAGAACCAATGTAATTGTTAGTAAGATCAAATCTTAATATATTAATTTGCAGGGGTTTGTGAAGTATCAGCAGTTCTTATCTGCACAACAAACATAATGTGACTATTTCTGTACAGACTTTCAGGAAACATGGTTGTCATATGGACAGTTTTGTCTTTAAGCAAGTTTCTCTAAGAACACTCAGGAAAGTTACAGTAAATGAAATTAAATTCCAGTGTGAGCAACTGGTTAAAACACAATTTCATTTGTAAGCACTCCTCTTCAGAAGGACAGTGACCACTAAAATAACTTACTTTCACTTCATTTCAAACTTCTCCATGAAAAGAAGTCTGTAAAGGATAAGTTAAAATGGTAATTTATGAAACCCTGGATTCTATACACTAGCTTGCCATTCAGGTACTCCTCATGTATGCAAATTCTGAGGTAGTTACTCCACTTTCAAAGTAGAATGACTTTGAACAAAAGTCCTTTCAGGAACTGACTGGCAGGAAGAGTCAGGAAAATTTATCTTGATTCATTAAAATGTGATTTTACAGAGCAGTAAAGCCTTGCACAGATACTCCCTGGCATTATATCAGACTTTCATTTGTTTCAACTATGATATGTGTTGTCTTTATGGGCTTAAATTAATATCTTCAAATTTGGAGGATTCCTTAACTGGAGAATTCCTTCAACTGAAATTCTGTGATCCAAGTTCCCTTCACTGCTGACAAAACCAAGCAGAAAGCTGAAAGGGGCTTGCAACTCCTACTCTGAAGGTCACATGCTCTCAAGTTTGGAATAAGGAATTGCAGAGAAAAAATTACCTTTACTTCAGAGTATTTGTGAGTCTACCATACCCACAGCAAACAGATTACAACAGTCAATGAAGTCTTGCAGTTTCAAAGAATTACCATGTAACACCAAAGTTTACTGACTATGTGTCAAGAGTCACTAGACTGTGGCAGAATGAACTCAGTCCCAAGAACACATACAACATGCACTAAATAAAGAATCTTATTTTAAAATTAAAACTCATTAAAATGTGAGGAGATGTAGAAAAAATGAAAATACTAAGCAAGCTATTAGTATGGACTGCCACCGGAACTCTCAAATGAGGTTCATCTGAGGCTTGATGAGAGAGGTTTTGCTGTGGCGCAGCAGAGGAGCTACTTAAAAGCAAAACAACTAGGCAAAATATATTTAACTTTCCCAAGACACTGTCTTTGTAGGGTGGCATAAAGAACAAGAAATGGAAACCTATTTTTCAAATAGGTGTCGGCTGACACACAAGTCTACAGTCGCCCCTTAGTGGACAAGAAAGATATAGCAGCCACGAATTTGGAGAGAAAATCAATTTCTGATGCTGTAGCAGAGTGCTGGACATGCTGCCAGACAGCGTGCAATTAGAAAACAGTAAATTTGAAAAAGACTTCCAAGCAAGCTTTTGTACCAGCGCTGAATCGCTAGCCTGTACACTGAATATAGGTATTTGCCTCTTCCAAAACACTCCCTTTCAAAAATGCAGTGAAACAGGAGAAGGGTCTTCTCCAAGGGGTACTCATCCCTGCTCTGTGGTGACTCAGATACATCACTGGGATTCAGTTTGAGTGCTATTCCAGGATGCTTTTTACTCATGAAGCTGGCTCAGTATGCAGCTAACCTGTCCCTTTCACATCTCCTAAAAATGTGTATCTAGCAGGAGAGGGATGAAGAACACATTCTGGCCATTATAGCAGCTTGTAGTACCAGTGTTTGCTTTCAGTGGATGTTGTTCTCAATGAGGATTCCCCAGAAGACACAAATTCTACTGCTTCTGCAAGGAGCAGACAGCAGCAGAAGTGCTGGTTTGGGCCACCCATTTTCCTGCAGAAGTGCTGCACTGCAACGTGCATACTCTTTGCACAGCTCTGCAGAGCTTGAGACAGGGTCCTGATCCAGCAACCAAATGGACAGGAGTGGAGCTTTTCAGCTTCACAGCTCTCAGGAAGGCCTGATATCTTTTACCAACACACCTGGTGTAGCTGACTGCAGAAGGAAGACATAACAAAGATTTCCCCACAAACTACTAAAGACAAGGGAGGAACAGAACGGTCTCTATTTATGAGGAGTGAGGGTCAGAACCTGCCATTATCCTCTTTTTTGAAATGGAGAGGCTTAATATGCGTCTATTTCTGCATTTGCAAAACATCACAGAGTACTGAGATGTTATTCTGTTAATGTGTAAGAACAGTTTGGAAGATAGGATTAAAATAGCTGATTACAGGACAGAGACCTAAAATAAAAGACCTATTACATGTCCCCTGCTTTCTGGGGTTTCCAATTCTGGTATGAATATTCTTTATGTTAAAATCCTGTAAAAGGTCCTTGTCCTTTCCATGTGTGTGACCTACACATTTGCAGATGTGGTCTCCATCACTGACACTAATAGTTTCATGTACAGGAAAAGTGTACAGTGCAGCCAAAAGCAGCATAAAAAGTAAGAGAGGAAAATCATGCTCTCAAAATGTCACAGCCAAAGAAAACACCTGTTGTTGGTCTTTGTTTTCTTTTGTGTTTTTTTTTAAGGAAGCTTCCTAAGTAATTACAGTCTACAATGTGGATTAGTAGTTGCTATTATGCACAAAGTAGGCAGCAACGGGCTGCAACACATCCTATTGCATTGGTTGATTTCATATAGAATAGGGAATCATTTAAAACTGTAATTACATTTTTGAAAAGCATGGCCTAATAGCTTTTTGTAACATTAAGGTAAGTGAAACACATTCTTCTCACAATGCAACTGCAGTACTTACATGAGCCCCACCAAGAGACTTTACCTGACTTAAAACAATATAAAAGACACTCAAAGGCAAGAAGCCTGATGGGTTGATACATTAATTAAAATGCAAAATAGCAACACAAAGTGCAATGAATCCTTTCTCATGTGCTGAGAAAATCCCTACAGGCAGGGGCAGCCTCTGAACTGTGAAACCACCTTGCTCAACAAAACACCCAGAAGCCATGCACAAGGTGTAAGCTGCAGAGCTTTTAAGGGTATCACATGCACTAGACATAGAAAGGAGGAATGATCTCTAAATTAAAGGCTTCTTTAGAAGAATCTTCAGAAAACAAATGCTAAGAAAGCACTTCTCTGGAAGTGTCCAAAACTGTATAAAAACTCTAACAGAAATCAATAGAAACTATTTTTAAACTCTTTTGTCTCTACAGGAAGTGATAATTCTCTACATAAACAGAAATATGTGGCACCTCTACAGTGTTGAAAGCTCCTTCCTCATTCAGTTTTTAAGGACTTGAACATTGCATTCCTGTCTTTTTTTGAAAGTAGCAAACTTGTCCAAATTCTGGCATTCCTCATCCAAAATGGTAACTCACCAGAGACTACAGAAAATACCAAATGTAATGGTGTGGCCACGTTCAGAACAGTGTGTGCAGTATGGACAGACAGTGCCCACTGGTGGGTAACATCATAGAAAGACAGCTTAGTCATTTATCTTTATAAGGGATCTGTGATTTTTAATAAAGTCCCCTAATGTAACCTTAATACCATTGAAATACCTAAATCTTTACAGTGAAAACTAACCCCACTAATATCAATTGATAAAACGCAAAAATAAAATTACTTCAACTGAATAAAAAGTTTGCTCGCTCAGTATGAAGTAGCCATAGAAGATACCAGGCCATGACTCTCTCATGCGACATATTCTTGCATTTATGGGATTGCCTGAATCCCATCATTACCATTTCAACATAACCCAGACTTTGTGGAGATGCTAGATGCTGCTCTTCAACATTTAGCATAGGGAAAAATGTAGCTGGGATTTGTGTTCACATCAGCTTTGTATCACAAAAGGAAAAAAAAAAGGGAAGGGAGGAAAGAAGAAGTAGGGAAAAAAGATGAGTTGGGAAACAAAATTACAGCATTAAAATTTCCACTGTGGAACCTGCGTAGAGTGAATTCAGATAAAGCAAAACTCCATTTCAGTTATTATTTGAGTCCCAACATAGAAGCAAAGTAGAATGAAAAACTGTACTAGTTCAGTGCATTACAAGTTAGAAAGTCATAATTTAAATTCCCATCCACTTCAGTAGAATTGAATTAATACTAAGTGATAGCACCAAGTACCCCAGTAAGCTCCTCACTTCTGTGAAAAGTACCAAAAGACTAATGATGCACAATTACCTTTCTTCTGTGTATACAGAGTATGGTTGTAAAGGGCAGACCTTTCCAAATACTAATGAATATATGTGCAGATCTCTGCATGTAGACTTTGCTTTTATCCTTTGAAAATTTTTCCTATACGAAATTTGGTCAGCAAACTATGGAAGAGACTGACTTCACTATACCAGGGTTCCACAAAATCACATTTCTTACCTAGACTAGAAATAATTTAAATGGTAGGAAAAAAAAACAACTCCACCATCCTCCCCCCTTCAAAACTTCCCACAAAGTTAAGCTTTTATTTGACCAAAAGTAAAAAACAAAACAAAAGAATCCTCCTACTCACACTGGAGAAGCTTTATATCTATTAGGAGTTCCAGAGTCAGAAGAATCACCACCAATACTACACAGGCTACCAGGAAACTGTTGAGACTTGCACTGAGCAAAAATACCTGCCACACAGCTGCTCGTCTCCCACAGCATGGTTTTAGCCAGTTAGATCTAAGGAAATAAAATTAAGAGGAAAAACAAGAAAAGAAAAAAAAGAAAAGAAAATAAGAAGTGAAAAAGGAAGAGAGCTAAAGAGCATTCAACTCAAAATGACAAGTTCTGCTGTTATGGATACACTCAGCAATAATGTGCAAAACTCACTTTCATTGGTTTCTTTACCAAGAAAAACACTTCACAAAATCTTCACTCTGGGGATCTTGTGTGTCTCTCCAACCCCCTGGTGCATATTGGTGTTCAAGTGCTTCCCAATGCACTGAGTAACACAACCCTAGTCATCATACATATTTTTCTTCTTTCTTCCTGTCATTATTTTTCCTGTGTTTATATTTTGTAATACATGCTGCATGTCACTGTACCAAGACACAGCAGGACTCTGCTACTAGGGTAGAAGCTAATGATGTTTAAGAATTGCTCTGCTATCGAATTTCATGGTCGTGCACCTTTATCCCTATTCTAGTATGAGACAAATCAAACAAGAGCTGCCAAATTTAGCTTGCAACCATCAGTTCATGATATCACAGAAAAGAGCAACAGGGATCTGGAAAGCACTGGAGTAAATTCAGTGACTCCACAGCTACACCTGTACAAGCAAACATATGCAGCCTGGCAAAGTGCAAAGCAATCAGCCAAGGCTGTCTAGCTTGTCTATTTGTCTGACCCTCACCCATCTGTTTCTGGATCAGGCCAAAAAAAGACTTTCCCAGAGCTTGGGGTAGAACAGTTTTAGGGGCAGCATCAGTGACTGCTCCCAAACCTAGCTTAGATGAGGTCACCTTGTTTTGCAAGAAAAAGAAGGTTTAGGCAGGATGAAGGAAGCTGCGAGGAGGCTATGAGGACTGGAATTCTGGAATGAAACTGATGAATCAGTAAATGTACTAGAATTGTGCTAATGTTGATACACACTTGGAAGTGGGTGGTTAATTTTTTTTATTATTTTTTTTTTTTAAGTTTGTAAAAGGAATAATAGCAGCACGGACTTGAAAAATATAAAGCCCATCCTGGTAAGTCTGTTCTCCTAAAACTCCCCCACAGTTTCACTTTGATACAGTATTATATAATTTCTCATCATACTGATTTGTAATGTTCCTGTCCTGGTCCACCTCTGAAAGTTCTGTTGCTTGCCCGACAATCCATGTTTTCAAACTGCTGTAAATACACATTAACTAATAAAGAGCTGACATGATGTATTAACCAGGGTTGAAGAAGCTGCAGGCATACAGAAGGGTGGTGCACCAACCCCACACTGTCCGAACCAACATAGCAATACCCAGAAATCAATGGTATACAAGAAGGTATGAAGATACTGATAAATTCCAAATAATCAGCTCTACACTCAGTAATTCCTGTTATAATCAAGTACTTGGAAAAACATCACAAAACTCCATGACATACCCACACTCAAAAATGAGGGAGAAAGTAATGTTAAGCAGTGCTCAGAGACTTGACACTTTCAAGCAGCTCCTCAGAATTAAGCATATCAACTAAATACTTGTACTCAGATTGCCTGATTACCTGACCGTAAAAGGCATCCTCAGCTGGCTCTTAAAACTTCAACGAAGATTTGACAAGTGTTACAATCAGGAACTTGCCCTTAGTTTAACTTTTTTATGGTTCCAGCCTGAATACAAGATGCACTGAATTTTAAATAAGTATTTTTAAAACATAAGGAAAAAAGGCATTGGGATAGGGCCATTTTTGCCAAGTTGATCTTTTAACGAATTTTATCTTACATCATCTCAAAACAGAGTAACTTGACTTTACTGCAACTGTTATTTTGGGTTTGTTGTGGTTTTTTTAGACCTTTCTAAAAATAATGTTGGGGAATGACCCTGTTTAAACAGAACAGGTTTTAGTTCTGTTCTTTTCTTAGAAACTTATCTTCCCTCTTCCAGAAACACCCATTTTGCCAGCGTTTTAATATTTCAGGGCAGTTTTTCCTCTTTCCTATTCCCAGAACGATCAGTAGAGGGCCTAAGGACCTCCCTTTAGAAGCTCTACCTAGTTGAGATTTTCAAATACGCCAAATGTACCAGTAAGAATAAATTAATTGTGATTCTCAGCACACATTACAGATAGCCACGAAAATAATTACTCAAGCTAATCATTACTTTCAGAACGCTAAAGAATGTGGAATCATTATGTCTGTGAAGTACTAATATTCCACTGACTTCAAGAAGCTTCTGAATGGAACTCTAAGTTTATGATCGGAAAAGCAATCAACTTCAGAGGTCAAGTGCAGATCATGTTTACACTGGTATATCACTCACAAAATACATAAACTGATTTCAAAGACACAAAATCGTTTGAAATGTAAGCACTGAAAAAACATCTCCAATTTCATATCTCGATTTATTACACTAAGGTACCTTTGTTCAACACTTGTCCTGTGAACAGTCATCAGCATCTTCAAATCACTGCCTAGCAGACCTCTTCCCAGACCTCCTCCAAGTCCTCTGACATTAATCCACTGACATTAACAAACATTGTGCTCTAAAAGGAGCTCTGGATGGTTTCTTTCCAGGGCAGTGCTTAGCTAGTTCATTCCCTCATACATCCCTGCACAGTAGAGTCCTGATCTTGCCTTTGGTTGTCTTGGTTTTTGACGTTTTTTTATTTCTCACCTCTTGTAAAGGATGGACATAAATAATAGAAGGATCTATAACCCAACTAGAAATATATTTTAGATAAACCTGTTGACATGCTAACCACACTGACTCGTCATACACAAATCTCCTCATCTCCTTCAACCCTGCAACCTGTCACAGCAGAGCGGTATCTCTCCCTGCTGATGGGTAAAGGCTCATCCATTGAAAAGGTAAGGAATCTGGTATTTAAGAAAAACAAATACCTACCAGAATTAGTGTAGGTTTAAACTTACCTTCCAAATCCTGGCCACTTCCCTTGCAGTACTGCAAAGCTATGCTAAGTTTAAAGCTTAGATCAGAAACTCAGCTACAAAATAAAAGTTAACTTACACAGCTCATAAATTTATGAAGTGATTACACACTAAACATAATAAAGTAAAACACGTTTTTCCCTCACTCCAGACAAAAAAAAAAACCAACCAAACAAAAAAAACCCTCCATATTTTGTTCAGAGAACAAGTACAACTTCCTTTAGTGTCCCGACCTGTATTGTCTGTGGATGCCATGCACTACATGGACACAAATTAAGTATGACTTAGGACAACTTTGCTGCAAGACTTCAAAGAGGCTCATTAGGTACCCCAGTTACTCCATCCCTACCACAGGAATATTATTTACCTTTCTTACAATGCCTGGATGAAGTAAGTAAATGTTCTAGCATGGGAATTTCTTGGTTGATGGTGAAACAGGGCTGTGAATTTTCATTATGAGACATTAAAATATATTTAGTGGAATTTTACCAGGGGAACTCTTTTTAAAGATAATTTCACACATGGCCTTGTGGAAAACCAATCTGTCATCATTACTGCTAGTTTTGTTAATAAACAGATTGGAAAAAAGAACATAAGGCAAAACTGGGAAAGGTTTAACATATTTATTTGGTAAGGAACCACTACAAAAAATTTGTTCAAGCTGTTAACAGCTGTCACTGTTTCTATTTTCTGGTTTTGCAAACAAATACTCCAAAACCTGCATTATACCTTACCCTGCCTTTTTTTGTTTGTTTTTCCTGGCTAAACAGCAAGTGTTTGCATCTCACAAGATGGCTATGATCAGAAAACAGAAGGATGGATGCAATCCAAATCACTATCTGAAGAAGCAGAAAGGCCATGGTCAGGAAGTGACAGGAACACTGAGAGGCTCAGTAACAACACAAAATCTGGCTGAGACAGAACAGACAGAAGAGCATCACAGCAGGCTACCGGGAGCAGCTGGAGGCCTAGAGCTTCTCCAAGGAACAGCTAGAGCTCTGCACCCCTTTCCTGGACTTCTAGAAGCTTAGTTTAACTATAGGAGCTCAATTATTGAGAGCACACTCATCCTCTTTTTCCCCTAAAAGTTTTACTATTTCTAACCTCATTACATTTCTTGAAGGACTGATGCAAAACTGTTGCTCAAACGGCAAGCAAGAAAGATTTCCCCAGTTTTCTGCCTAAACTCACACATGACCAGTTTACACATAACTGCTCCTGTGCCAATACTGTTCTTTAGCTTGATTAGCTCTTTTCCTTTGCTGGCATTTTGTCCATGATGCACTGATACACAGCAATAGCATCCTCTCATTTAATTTAATCAAACCCCATGCTTTTGTAAAGCTGATGCTTTCTATCACTGTCCTAGTGGTCCCTTCTGCATATGAATATAGAAAATTAGAGTGGTACATAATATTTTGGAGTAGATTTAACCACAAATGCTTCCCAGCTCTATCTGAAGTACTTTATGCTTTCTAGGATAATTTATGCTTTCTTTATGGTTGTATATAGAACATGGATTTGGTGAAGCGAGTCCAGAGGAGGCCATGTAGATGGTCAGAGGCTGGAGCAGCTCTGCTTTGGAGACAGGCTGAGAGTTGGGGTGTTCAGCCTAGAGAAGAGAAGGCTCCAGGGAGACCTTAGAGCACCTTCCAGTGCCTGAAGGGGCTCCAGGAAAGCTAGGGAGGAACTTTGGACAAGAGAAGGAGTAATAGGACAAGGAGTAATAGATCAAAACTGGAAAAGGGGAGATATAGGTTAGACATTAGGAGGGAATTCTTCACTATGAGGGTGGTGACACACTGGCACAGGTTGCCCAGGGAAGTTATGGAAGTCCCATCCCTGGAAGTGTTCAAGGGCAGGTTGGATGGGGCTTGGAGCAACCTGGTCTAGTGGGAGGTGTCCCTGCCCATGCAGGGGGGTTGGAACTAGATGATCTTTAAGGTCCTTTTCAACCCAAAGCAGTTTGTGATTCAATATCACACCATTTGTAATTATTTGATATATTATTAAACCACAACATATTGCTTATCCATCTTTCAATTTATGCACCAAGCCATATCTTCTCCAGCTTAGACAATTAATTGGAGTATTA